CGCGGTTTCTTGGGCCCTTCCGTGGCTGCCCCTCCAGCCCTCCTCGTGCATGCGGGGGCGTTGGGGGTCTGACAGAGGTGCTTCTGCTCCGTGAGCGTGACTGGTGCGTGAAGTGGGGGCACAAGCAGCAGCCGCGTACAGAAGGGGGGCAGGGGGAGGGGGAATGCCTCCTTAGAAACACCCCTGCTTCTTGGAACGCGCGGGCCTTAATGCAGGTCCCGCGCCTTCTACGACGCAGCCTCCTTCTAAGAAGCTTGTCCCCCCTCCCCCTACCCCGTTGTGAGCGCCGCCAAGAAGGATTGACATCCCTGTCACAACAACCAAACGGATCAAGTCTCTTCGGGACGCCGCCGCTCAGGAAGGCCCTGGGTACAGTCGGACCGAGCCAACGCGGTCGATTCGGGGAGGGTACCATGATGTTCTTCGTGCTTGTTACATGTCCTTGTGCATCTTGGGAGGGGCGGCGCGCTCAAATTCTCTTCACCACCCGCCAAACCACCCCAACCCAACCCGAAGGCCTCAATTTGCGCTCCATTCCCAGTGTGGGGGGGGGGGCGTCGGGGAATATTGAGAAATTACCCTGGCGAAAGACCCAACCATATGCAGTTGTGAGTGCCGCAATTGTGAGTACCTTCTTCGGTGGCGCTCCGTATGGGGCCACGAACCGCATGAGTGGTATGCCGAAATATGGCGGGGTACACGACGCAAAGGAATACGATTGGTCAGATTACGAAAGAATGAACGCGGGTGAGCCAGAGCGCGAGAGAGTCTGAGTGTGAATGGGTGTGCGCGGGTGTGAGTATATTTGCATGAATGCGATCTTGGCTACGCCTAGTGTAAATGTATCTGAATGTGAATGGCTCGAGCATGCCTGTCCGAACACTCGTGACACCGGGCGTGGCCGCCGCAGGCAGCTTCCGCGGGAACCCCGACGGCAGCGCCCGCGCGCCGCGACGCCCATGTCGGCACGCCCCTCACGGGGATCGCACCCGCTTCCGCCCCTTCTTTTCCCCCCTCTTTGCCTGCGCGCCCCCAAAATCCGAAGCTGCGGGCGCAGAGCAGCGCGGAGTCCCCGCGACGCGCGCAGGTCGCCGCGGAGGGGTCCCAGCGACGCGCGCAGGTCGTCCGCTGCGCGGAGCACAGAGAGCTAGCCGGCCGGCTGATTGCGGGCAAGGCTCCGGCCGCTGGGCAGAGCGACGACGGGCGAGCGAGGCGCTGAGCAGAGCGCCGCGCGGAATCCCCGCGACGCGCGCTGGTCGCCCCGAGAGGGTCCCAGCGACGCGCGCGGGTCGTCCGCGGCGCGAGGCCGAACAATTATGCGGGCAGTCGAGAGAAGGCGCGGCTCGGGGGGGGGCGCTCCTCAGGTCAGGCCTCGCGGATAAACTCGGTGAAGCCGAGCTCCCTGGCGAGGGCCGTCGCCTCCCTCCTGCACCGCTTCGCGCGCGCTGCAAACTGCTCCAGCTGCTTTCGCAGGCCCCCCGGCGGTCCTGCCAGGAAGAACTCGATGCGCGGCGCCCGCATGAGCAAGGAGGTCCTCGTGGCGCGTGGCGCGCGAGAGCAGCGCGTAGAGCTCCAGCCACCAGTCGTCGTCCTCCTTCTTGCCGTTCCCGACCTCGTGGCGGCCGCAGTCCAGGATCACACCTGGGCGACTCGGCCGAGGGAGCAGTGCGCCGGGCAGCCGACGGCCCAGGGCGAGAGTCCACAGGACCGAGTCTGGCCGCGGACTGCTCGCGCCCCGGAGGTCTGGCCGTCCCCGGAGCGCCGTTCCCCCGCCCCGTCGCCTTCGCGCATGGTGCGCCCCTGGCACGCCACCGTGGTGATGACCCTGCCGTGCGAGAACGGGAAGCCCGTCCGCGTGACCTTGAAGGTGCGGAAGGTGAACGGCTCCGACGTGCGGGGCTCGATGAACACCAGCGGGCCCGCGAGGTCCCCCGTGAGGCTGTCGTCGCGGAGTGCTTGAGGCGGAGGAGGAGGAGGAGGAGGAGGAGGAGGAGGAGGAGGAGGACTGGGGCCTCCGGCGGAGATCCTATGGGACCACGAAACGTGTGAGGGGTGTGCCGAATTGGGTGTGGGTGACGCATGCGGGCGGCAGCACTGGGGCCTTCGGCGGAGCTTCTACTATGGGGCCACGAAACGTGTGAGGGGTGTGCCGAATTGTGTGTGGGTGACGCATGCAGGCGGCAGCACTGGGGCCTTCGGCGGAGCTCCCTATGGGGCCACGGAACGTGTGAGGGGTGTGCCGAAATGGGTGTGGGTGACGCATGCGGGCGCGGGCACTGGGGCCTTCGGTGGAGCTCCCTATGGAGCCACGAAACGTGTGAGGGGTGTGCCGTGACGCATGCGGGCGCGGGCACTGGGGCCTTCGGTGGAGCTCCCTATGCACGAAACGTGTGAGGGGTGCCGAAATGGGCGTGGGTGACGCATGCGGGCGCGGGCACTGGGGCCTTCGGTGGAGCTCCCTATGGAGCCACGAAACGTGTGAGGGGTGTGCCGAAATGGGTGTGGGTGACGCATGCGGCCGCGGGCACTGGGGCCTTCGGTGGAGCTCCCTATGGAGCCACGAAACGTGTGAGGGGTGTGCCGAAATGGGTGTGGGTGACGCATGCGGGCGCGGGCACTGGGGCCTTCGGTGGAGCTCCCTATGGAGCCACGAAACGTGTGAGGGGTGTGCCGAAATGGGTGTGGGTGACGCATGCGGCCGCGGGCACTGGGGCCTTCGGTGGAGCTCCCTATGGAGCCACGAAACGTGTGAGGGGTGTGCCGAAATGGGTGTGGGTGACGCATGCGGGCGCGGGCACTGGGGCCTTCGGTGGAGCTCCCTATGGAGCCACGAAACGTGTGAGGGTGTGCCGTGTGGAGGGGTGTGAAACGTGTGAGGGGTGTGCCGTGTGGGTGACGCATGCGGGCGCGGGCACTGGGGCCTTCGGTGGAGCTCCCTATGGGGCCACGAAACGGTGTACTGGGTGGGTGAAGAGGAGAGGAGGAGAGGAGAGGAGAGGAGGAGAGGAGAGGAGAGGAGAGAAGAGGAGAGGAGAGGAGAGGAGAGGAATGATGATGATAATGATGATGATAATGATGATGATGACGATGATGATGACGACGAGGATGATAAGAGGGGAGAGGAGGCGGAGGAGGAGAGGAGGAAGGAGACGCGGGGCACCGTCTCTTCAAAACGAGGACCCAACACCACAGGATGGTTGGGAAAACACATGTGGAACCTGTACCCCCCCTCAACCCGAAATGTGGGTTTCTTGATCAGGTCGGGATGGTCTAGTAGGCAGCTCAGCTCTTCCCCCCCCTACAGCGGAGGGTTTCATGCTCTCTATCAACGGCACCGTAACGGATACTTTGGAAAGTTGCCGAAGGTTGCCATGTTAGGGTTTCTTTCTGGCATTGCAGCGATGCCCACAGCGGGCAGGATTGGGCTCGCCAGGCCACTGGCCAAAGCACCCGTTGGTGGAGTCCCTGTCAGAGGGGCGCTGCTTCTGAGGATGCTCTTCTGGCCTAGGTCTGGCTGTGCCGTGCTCGAGCTCCGCTCGGGCCCCGTGAGGCGATACTCGTTCCACACCGCTTCGATACTTCTTTTGCGTGCTCGAGATTATTTCCGGGATGGGCTCCCCAAGTGCGATGGGAAAACGTAGAAGTCTGAGGATGGTCTTTGGCTTGGGTCGGGCTGTGCCGCGCTTGGGCTCCGCTCGGGACCCGCCCGCCCCGCGGCAGCACCCTCGACCGTGAGGGCGCCCGGGCCACAAAAGGCAGGCCTCAGAGGCAGGGCCCTGCCCGGACTGGCCTTCTCTCCCGGAGATCCCGGGCGACCAGACGATGTGTGGTGATGGGCCTGTTTTCCAAAACCACCACCACCACCATAAGCTGGAGCGGGAGGGGGCCCTTAGTCCCCTTCCTCCTCCTCCTCCTCCCCGTCGTCCTCCTCCTCCTCTTCCTCGTCCTCCTCGTCCGCCACCTCCTTCCCCCCTCCAACTTATGGTGATGGTGGTGGAAAGGTGGCCCTTCTCGGGGAAGTGAGAATCGAAGAAGAACTATGCTATCCACTGTGAGGTCCCAGGGAGCACCCCGGGACATCGCCCACGTTGAATATCCTCTGCCTTCTGTCGAAGAAGAAGAAGAAGAAACGCCACACATGGAAGAAGAAAAACGTCACAAATATAAACTTTTGGCGGTCCGCGCGGATGTCTTGGATCCGCGCTGGGCCCCCCCGTGGCGCCTCCGGCGCCGCCCCTGGCGCGCTCCGCACGCCAGGGAGGAGAGTCCAGAGCAGATCCAAGAAATCCGCGAGGAGCGTCAAAAGTTTGTATGTATGCCGATTTCTTGTTTCTAGAGATGGAGAATGTCTTCTCAGAAGGCTGCGGGAATTCTCAGAAGCCCTCTCGCCTGTTCTTGAGACGTGTTTTCTGCATCTTCGGAGCAGGCTCACGAAACTTCTCAGAATGCCAGGGGACCTCCATACCTTTTGAGAAGGCCCGCCCCCTCTCACTTCCCTCCTTGGCTCGCCGCGACATTCAGGTGCCTTCTGCCCAAGTTGATAGGTAGGTCGTGTATATATTTGATGCGCCGTATTGGCGTGTGGGTCTGATGTGCTTCAATCGGGAATCGTACGTATCAGGGTGTGTGATGTATATGTGTGGCTTGCTGTAAGTTGCCGACATATCGCGGATGCTTGGTGTTAAGGTGTATTGTCGACCCATGTCTATACATATATATATATATATACACATATGGTTGGGTCTTTCATTTGGGGATGTGGATGATGTATGCTGTCGGCCTCGTCTTGGTTTCGTCTGCCTTGTGGCGCTCACACCTGCATGTGGCTGGGTCATTCTCCACGGTGCTGGCCTTGTTGTGATCACGTCAGCGGCGTCAGCTCGTGCCTTTTCTCATCACTGCGTGCTGAACTTCTCTTGTTGACAGTGCCATCTCGACGACGACGACGACCACCACCACCACCTCTGCCTCTGCCTCCCACGCCCCCGGCCCTGGCGCAGGCTCTGGGTCACTTGTCAGCCGGCTGGGGCGCTGCTGCGTGGCGCCGGCGCCTCCCCCCCCCGTCGCCCGGTTCGCCGCGGCCGCTTCCCTTTCTGGGAGAGCAGGAGGAGGCATGATCGAGTCTCATTGTTGTCGGGCCTCCTCGGGCACCCTTGTCGCCAGCGTTTTGGTTCGTTCATCCCCCGCAAGCCAATCTAGACGTTCGACGTCCGCGCACCCGCCGCAAGCCAATCTAGAAACTATATATGCCCCCGGGAGATGTCGGAAGGGAGGACCCAGATAAGCACATTGTGAAGCAAGGAAGCCAGCAATGGTGAATTTAGAGACCTCGGGGAGCCTCTTGGATACGTCTTGTAGCCATATTGGGGCTGTATTAGGGCAATGCTGGACGCCCTGAAGGCGTTGTTTGTTAACCTTTGGGACATTGCATGACCTTTTTGAAGCAATATTCAAGGTAATAGGTAGAATCATCAGATTTCACAGTGATGCCGACAAGCCGTCTCCTGGGACCCTTTCAGGGCGTTCTCGGGGCGATTTTGGGCGCTACTGTGGCCGTTTGGGAGCCGTCCGGGGCCCCTCGTGGGGCTTTCTTCGGCGATCTTGGCGCCCTTCTGACAACTCAGAATCTCATCGGAAGCCGAATGGCGAGAAGGGGTTTTCAAGGAGGCGTGGTTGGGAGGCCCCCCGAGGCCACTTGGAGCCGTTTCGCGGCTGTCTTGGGGCATCCTGGAGGCATTTTGGATGCTATTTTCAAAGGGAACTTGAAATCTCTCGTTCGATGCTGGATGCCATCTCGGGCTCCATGGAACCATGTTGCGGCAATATGTAACCCTCCCACTGCTCGCTCGAGTGTTTGTTGGCTTCTGGCCAGGCTGCGGACCAGGAGAGGAGATGTCTGAGGGGTGTTGTGGCACAGGTAGCCCAGGGTAGGTGGCGTCGGCTGCTGGCGCACAGTCAAGCGTACCCTGAAGAAGAACACACAGAAGCACAAGCAGAAACTTCTGAGGCCCGCGCGGATTTCTTGCATCGGCGTTAGACCCCCACCACCTGGCGCCAGGGGCGGCGCAAGAGGCGTTGCCAGAGGGGCCCAGCACCGATCCAAACACATCTTCGCGGAGCTCCGCAAGCTCATATGTGTGTGGCATGTTTTATCTGAATTCCCACGCCAGGTGGTCCAGTGGGCCCCATGTGCTGCGTCACCGTGAGATGGGCAGCCGTCGTCCTTCTTGCTTCCCCCCGTCGCTACCGGCTTATGTTCCGCCGCTCACCCCTGTTGACCTGGTGCAAGGGAGCCATGGCTCAGCAGAAGGCGAGTTGAGACAATGGTACGGTGGAGACCCATGTCAAGAAACACCCTGCTTGCCTCCAGGCTACCCTGGGTTTCTTGGGTTCCGATGGTTCTGCTGTGGAAAGCGTGACGCTCCCACGCCAAAAATCCATGGACGTCCTGGGGTCTCAGGGTTGGGTTTCTTGTGGAAGGTTTCTTGTGGTCGGGCCCCTACTGTAGTTGGTCTTCGGGGCCCTCGTCGCCACAGCTGGACGCAGCCTGGACAATCTGTGCGTTCGGACACCCCGGGAAGGGTCCAGGGACCGATTCTGATACGGTGGGGGCGTTGGTTGAGGAATGGCGCCCACCCAGGAGGTTGCGGACACTGGAGAATCCCTTATCTGATGAGGGCGGCGGTGATATCCATGGCCAAGCCTCGATTGGAATGCCACCTTTCTCCAGACCCTGGAGATTCCTCATGTGAGGGTTCCTTATCCAATGCCCCACCATATATATATATATATATATATATATATGTATACACATACATATATATATATATATATATATATATGTATATGGGCTGTCGCTGTCTCCGCTCGCCCTGCCTCCGACTGGCACTGGCGCCCCCGCGAACCTACCGGCAGCGCCAGCGTCGGCATGCAGACGACGAGGGGTGGGTCGGGTATGGCCAGGACCCCAGGTAAGGGGACCCGGTTAGTGGTAGGGCCCCGGAGCCCCTGAATTGTCCAGAATCACGAAACCAGGTTTGCCATAGCTGGTGTTGTTTCGGGTGACGGCAGTTCCGGTTAGTGGAAATGGGACGGGGGGGCGCCCCCAGTACAGATCACTAAAGCAGGTTCCCATAAACCCAGTTCTGCCAACGCCCGAGTGAGGGCCGGAAGGGAGAAGGGGAGTGGGATAGTTCTAGGCCTCCTAGATGGGGACGGAGCAGATGGGGTCGGAGGTCGCCGATGCATCGACAATGCGGCTCGATGCGGAGCCCGATTTGATTCACGACGACGTTGCTGATGCACCGCCGACGTCGACAACGCATTGCTGGTGCATCGCCGACGCATCGCTGATGCATCGCCGATGCATCGCCGATTTATGGGCGATGCGGCGTGATCCTCCGACCCCATCTACTCCGACCCCATCTAGGAGACCTCTAATAAAGGAGGGGGGCAAAGGAGGACGAGGAGGATGCGGTAGAAGTCGACGGGCTCTCTTGGCTGTAAGCTCATTGCGGTGAGGCCAGATCTGGCTACGCAGTGGTAGCTACGTGATTATGCTTAGGCTCCACCGTGGGGTTGGGGAGAATGGCCGACTGTGCCTGTCGACTTCTGGTGCTGGAGAGCGTGGACACAGGTCGGTCAGGAGGACGATGAGGAGGATAATGCCAGAGAGGGTAGGATGGAGGAGCCCGTTGGAAACTCCCGAAGCCATCAAACAGATGCTCCTTCCTCATCCCCCCACTCCTTCTCTTCTCTCATCCTCTTCCTGCTCCCTTTCATCAGTCCCTCCTCTTCCTCTCCGTCCTGTTCCTCCTCGTCTTTCTGCTTGCCCGCATAGCAATGCATCGAAGCGAGACCGAGCCTCGGCATCAGGGCACACGCAACAGAGGCAGCGGCAGGAAGCAGCGGCGGCTCCGCCCAGGCCACCCGCGGACGCGCCGCCAGCCAGGACTCCCTCGGCAGCCAGTCCGACGGAGGCGGCTTGGCGGGTTGCCTCAGCCCCTGGGCCTTGCGACAACGAAGGCGGAGCCTAAGTTAGGCCACCGTTCTTGCGCCTGGCCGAGAGCGTTCCGGGGGGGCGGCTTCTTCCCGAGCGTCCGCCGGAGGCCAAATGGCCCAAACCCGAAAGCCAAACTCGGCGGCGCGCGCGCTCAGAAGCCCTCCGGCCGTCTGAGGAGCTCGTGTCGCTTGAGCGACGGACGGCAACGGGGTCGTGTTCACCGACGTTGGCGCGTAAGCGCCCTCGTTTCCAGTGTGGCGTGCCGCGCTGGGGGCCTGCGTACGCCGCGGCGTAAGATCGCCACGTCATCTGGGGCCAGGCACGCTTCCGATGGTCGCTCGGCTGCTAGTACAAGCCGGCGGCCCGCCCAGGGGGGAGTGAGATGGAGCAGGCCTTCTGAAAAAGGCAGCGGGGTTTCTCAGAAGCCCTCGCGTCTTCTGGGAAGTTTTCTGTGTCTTCGGGGGAGGGGAAGGCTAGGATCATGTCGGGCGTGTCCCCCTAGAGGGGGATTTTCGACAAAAAAGAGAAGGTACCCACAACATAGTCGAACAATGTCCAAAAATAGTCAGGGGACTATTTTTTGAGTATTTTTTTGACCTTTTTGTTGCTGCATTTTTGGTATATGTTTGGTGTATTTTTCATTTTTCGTCGAAAATCCCCCTGTAGGGGGACACGCCCGACATAAGGCTAGGACAACTTATCAAAAGGCCAGAGGCCTCCCGAGCCTTTGAGAAGGCCCGCCGATGTTTGCCTTCCCCCCTGGGCGCGCCGCCTCGGCTCGCTCCGCTGGCGCCCCCCCCTCCTCGCGAGGAAGGTTGGAGGAGCGGTTTCCTGGAGATTGTGAGAGATTTGGCCATTCGTTTTGGCACCCCGATTTTTATTCTCTGTAGTCGATCATGACGCGTTTCGTGATGAAAGTCTCAGGGCTGTAGCTGGAGTGCAGCTCTCGAAAATTAGGGGGAACCATCGGCCGTCTGGATGCATTTTTCCGGATGATGATGGTACCGTGACTTTAACGCAAGAAGGGAGCGAGCTACACAGCTAGGCACCACGTCGTTGGGTCGGCCACGGAGCCACGAACTTCGGCGAAGAAGCTTGTTGTGTGGACGCTCCAGCGAGCTACAGCTTGGGACGCTGGGCCGACCAGACGACGTGTTTCCGTGTATGTTTGTGTGCATAGTTTTATGTATGTATGTATGTATGTATGTATGTATGTATGTATGTATGTATGCATATATGTATATATGTATGTATGTATATATGTATGTATATGTGGATGGATGGGTGTATGTATGTATCTATCTATGTATGTATGTATGTATGTATGTATGTATGTATGTATGTATGTATGTGTGTATGTGTGTATGTATGCATGTATGTATGTATGTATGTATGTATGTACGTATGTACGTATGTACGTATGTACGTTTGTACGTATGTACGTATGTATGTATGTAGGTAGGTAGGTAGGTCGGTAGGAAGGAAGGAAGGAAGGTAGGTAGGTAGGTATGTAGGTATGTAGGTATGTAGGTATGTATGTTTGTATGTTTGTGTGTGTGTTTGTTTGTTTGTTTGTTTGTTTGTGTGTTTGTTTGTTTGTTTGGTTGTTTGTTTGTTTGTTTGTTTGTTTGTTTGTTTGTGTGTTTGTATGTTTGTATATATAGTCATGTAAAGATACACACTTCGAGACCATCCCAGCATCGGCGGCGAGCGAGGGGGGAAGTCAGAAGGAGACGGCCTTTTCAGAAAGCGGCGGGACCTCTCAGAAGCCCTCGCGCCTTCTGAGAAGAGTGCTGTTGTCTTCGGGGAGGGCGTAGAGAGATTCTCAGAAGGCCGGGGGACTTCCGAGCCTTCTGAGGAGGCCTTCTCCTGCCCCCTTCCCCCTCGCGCTCGCCGCCGACAGCAGGGAAGGGGTCCCGCAGGTGTTGCCCGCCTTTCGGGGGCCCTCCCCTGGGCCCCTCCGTCGTCCCCCCAGGGGCCGCCCGCAGAGCGACCCATGGGATGGATCACCACCCACAGAGCCCTCTCCCCCTCCTCCTCCTCCTCCTCCTCCTCCTCCTCCTCCTCCTCCTCCTCCTCCTCTCCTCCTCCTCCCTCCTCCTCCTCCTCCTCCTCCTCCTCCTCCTCCTCCTCTCCTCCTCCTCCTCCTCCTCCTCCTCCTCCTCCTCCTCCTCCTTCCTCCTCCTCCTCCTCCTCCTCCTCCTCCTCCTCCTCCTCCTCCTCCTCCTCCTCCTCCTCCCCCTCCTCCTCCCCCTCCTCCTCCCAGGGCAGGTCGGCACGTGGCCCTGGCACATCGGCGAAGATCGAGGTGTAGAGACCCCTCGCCTTATCCGAAGGCCTCAATCTGCCCTCCGTCAGAGGACCCCGCAACCCCCCCAGCCCGAAGCTCGGGTCTCGCTCGGGCCCTTCGGGTTGGGTTGGGGGTGGCCTGGTAGGCATAGCCACCGGAGAGGCGCTGGTGCCGGGGCAGTCCCCGGGGCCTCGAGGACGGGGGGCACGGGCGGCGGAGGAGGAGAGCACGGCGTGGCCGCTCCGTCTCCGCTCCAGCCCGGCTGCACCCCGAGGTCTCGACGCCTCCACGCGGTTATCCAGCCGGGCGCCCTCGCCCTTCGGTTCGGGCCCTGAGTCTGCGCGAACGAGATGGGCACGGAAAAAATGTACACAATGCTCAACAGTTCCTGTTCATTTTGAGCAGGATTCGCTGTCCGCGCCGCCGCGGCCTGTGTCCATTTGAGACAGGAGGCCGCCTGCCCAACAGCGGCCGCTGTTGGTTTGGGACAGCATTTGTTGTTGGGCATTGTACCCATTTTTTCCGTGCACATTTCGGGCGTCCAAACCGGGGCCCTCACGGATCGATCCGGCTCGAAGCACGACGCAGGAAGACGGGGCCCAGGGCAGCGGTCGGGATGGTCGGCGTTTCCGTGTTTGTCTGGCTACGTCGGATCTCAGGGCAGCGTCCTGGCACCCAAGGACGGTGCAGTTCTTCCTGGGGGGGTGGGGGGCCCGTTTCCCCGGGCCCCCCGCTTCCCTTCGTGGCATCTCCCCTCTTTCGTTCCTTCCGCCGCACACCTTCATCTGACGCCGCGGCGAGAACGTATTCGCGGGTGGCCCTGGCTGCGGGCAGAGCTCACCAGCATGGGCTCTATCTGTCTATGTATATAGGAGTGATGTGCCTGTGTATGCATGTGTATACACATACATCTATACACGGTCTAGACGCTGCACAACAATCATTTCTGGTTCGGAAGGGGCTCACTACCCCTTGGGTGCTTACATGGTTGTTTTTGTTGCGCCCATCGTGCACCTATGTACTTCTGCAGCCACGGAAGGTCATGAGGGGGGCTCAATCGGTTGCAAGTAAGCCACGCAAGGTTCGCCCGTCGTTCGTCCGCCGCGCGGCTGTAGTGGGTAAGTCGTTCAGGTCCAGCCCGTCGTTCGTCGCGGCCACCGGTTGATTTGGGAGCGCGCCGTTCGTCGTTCCTCGAAGTCGTCCACTCTGCACGCGATCCTTCCGTCATCTGTCGTCGTTCGCTCAACTGCGCGCCAGAGAACCGCCGCCGCCGGAACCGCCGTCGCCACCGGATTTGCGCCACTAGGTCTGGGCCTCCACACACCCCACCTCCCCCAACATTTGTCATTTTGCCTCCTCAGCCGAAAAAGTGCGAGGGGCAAAGGGAGGGGACGGGGGAGGGGGAGGGGGAGGGGGAGGAGGAGGAGGAGGAGGAGGAGGGGGAGGAGGAGGAGGAGGAGGAGGAGGAGGAGGAAGAAGAAGAAGACGAAAGGAGGAAGAAGAAGAAGAATAATAATAAGAATAATAAGAAGAGGAGGAGGAGGAGGAGGAGAAGGAGGAGCAGGTCGCCCAGATATGATATCCGAAAGGGGGAGCTCACCGCAGGCAGAAAGACTGCCTGCCCTCCGCGCGCTGGGCCTCCGCTCGCCCGTGCAGCGCGGTCGACCCCCCCCCCCGCGCGGGGGGGGAGCGCCCGCGCACGGCCCTGCACGGGGAGGGGCGGCACGGCCGCGACGGCGGCCAGCAGGCCGCCTCCGCCGCCCCCCGCCGCGGGGCCGCCTCGCGCGCGCGCGAGCAGCGCCCGCCGCGCGCCCCCGCGAGGCGAGGGGCCGCGGGCCGCCTCGCAGCCCCGGCGGAGGACCGCGCGCGCGCGCGCGGGCGGCCCGCGCCCCCCGGAGTGGGGGGCCGAACGTGTGGGCGCGACGCAGCAGGCCTCCCAGATTCAGGAGGGGAAGGAACACACAGACACAATTCATCGGCGATTCCCAGAAAATATGAGAAAGTATGGGAAGTGGGGGGGAAGACACAGACCCAGAACATATGGGAAAATATGGGGTATCATTTTATTTGTGTGTTTTTATTTGTGTGTCCTTGGGCCCCTTCACAGATGGAGGCCGAGGAGACGGGGTCGGAGGGTCGCGCCACATCCCCGCGATGCAACCGCGACGCGGCGCGAAGCGGAGCCCGGCTGTCTCCGCGCCGGCGTCGCCGATGCATCGCCGAAGTCGCAGGTGCATCGGTGATGCATCGGCGAGGCGGCGCGATCCTCCGACCCCATTGTCTCGGACCCCATCCAGGACGCCTCTAGACTGCAGATGCCCGACAGCAGCGCTAGGTCACGTGGAACAAAGATTTGCAGTCCTCGGGGCCCATCGGACAGCCAATGTTGCCCGTTTCGACAGCATTTCTTTCCGTTTGGCAGCATTGTTTTTTCAAGTGGATTATTATCAGATGGTCTCCGAAGGATTATCCCCCACATCCAAAGTGGGGTTCTTGCATGTCCCCACATCCAAAGTGGGGTTCTTGTTTTCTCTGGACACCCCGCGCAGGAACACAGGAACAGGAACACCCCCTCTCTTATCACTCACTCACTCACACACTCACATTCACACAGCATCACCGCTAACTTACTCACATATTCACTCAGCATCACCACCTACCACCCACTCACTCACACGCATCATCGTCAGCATCATCATCGTCTTCACTCACTCACTTAATAATTCGATACAGACCTCATGAGCTCTTCTCCCTTCGCACACTCACTCAATGAACCACACACCATCACCATCATAACACCATCAAGCTCCTCATACTTACTCACTGTAGCATTACCATTATCATTCACTCAATCACTCATACCGTCATCGCCACCATCTCCATCATCATTATCATCCATCTCATCATCATCACCACTCACATCACAGGCATCATCGTCATCGCTCACATCGTCATCATCACTCATCATCATCAACATCATCATCATCACTCACACGCACACCCACATTCATGTTGAGGACGTATCAGGCGGGAGCCTCGTCTGTGAGTGAATTGCGAGGAAGTGTCAGGCGAGAGACCCTTCCCTATGGGCCCGCAGCTCATGTGAGTAATCTGAGCGGGTCATCGGCCTCCTGCAACTGTCGTCTTTTTTGGGTCCCTGAGGCCTGCATATGGAGGAAGTATCAGGCGGGAACTTCGTCTGCGAGTGAATTGCGAGGAAGTCTGAGGCGGGAGCCCCCCCCCTATGGGGCCCACAGCTCCTGAGAGTAGTCCGAGCGGGTCATCGGCCTCCTGCAACCGTCGTCACTTTTGGGCCCCTGAGGCCTGAATTTGAAGGAAGTAAGAGGCGGGAGCTTCATCTGTGAGTGAACTGCGAGGAAGTCTCCCTCCACCCCCTTGTGCGCGCCGCCCAGAAGGGCCGTCCGAGGGCGGTGGCAGCGGGCGGAAGGGGGGGGTCGGCAGGAGGGAGGGGGGGAGTGCAGGGGAACGAAGAATGGCACAGGCATGAAACTCGGAGGCCGACGCGGCTTTCTCGGATCGGCGCCAGAGCCCCCCGACGGCGCCTCCGGCGCCGCCCTTGGCGCGTTCCGCGCGCCAGGGAGGGGGGGGGTCCAGCGCCGATCCGAGAAATCCGCGAAGACCTCCGAGTTGTTTATGTTTCTGCCATTCTTCGTCCCCTTAGAGTGAAAAGGAGAGGGGGGGGGGGGGGAGTTTCGGCGTCGAGGGGGGAGAAGGAGAGGGGGGGAAGGAGCCGATGAGAGGGCGGGGTGCCTGCCAGCAGCTGCGCCTCGCCGCGGGCGCTCGGGGGGTCCCCGCATCGTGCCGAGCGCTCCCCGGAGACCCGGGGTGTGACCCGAGTCGGGAGTCTTGAGGCGGGGTCGATGCAAGCCAGGGTCGGCCAGAGGGCCCGGCCCTGCAGGACCCTGCAGGGCCAGGGTGAAGTCGGGCACGTCCCTCTACAGGGGGAATATTCAAAAGGAGTTAAAAAATAGTCTGGGGACGATCGTTTTACCATTTTGGGGCATGTTTGGAGCATTTTGGAAGTATTTTTCAGTTTTCGTCCAAAATCGGCCTGTAGGGGGACAGGCCCGACGTAAGGCCAGGGTTCGCATTGGCCCGGATCTGGGTGCAGGATCCTGCAGGACCCTTCGCATTGACCCGGGCTTGGGTGCAGGATGTTGCAGGATTCAGCAGGGCTTGACTGGCCCGGGCCTGGAGCGACCCGGGTCAGAAGATCCCCGACCAAAAGCATCGGCATCGTTCGGACGTGTGCAGATTCTCTTGGCGAGGACAATCGAAGAGCATTCTGGATCATCAAATTACGAGAACAAAACTGGAATAACAACAAAAACACGAGATCGAAACATGCACGGGAACTGGGCGCACGAGCGACGGCAAGGGGAGGGCGGCAGGAGGCTGCCCTTCTTGTTCCCCGAATGCGCAGCGGTCCTTACTCGGGCCAGACCCCCCCTCCTCCTCCTCCTCTTCCTCCTCCTCCTCCTCCTCCTCCTCCTCCTCCTCCTCCTCCTCCTCCGGCGCCACCCCCAGGCATGGGTGATGAGGGTCTGGGCCCCCCCGTATGCCGGTGCCCGCGCGCACACCGCCGTGATCGCAGCGCACCCCTGCCCCGACGTGCCCTCCTCCTCGCCCAGGTTTCAGTCGCGCCTGTCCCTCTGCAGGAGGAATCTTCGAATATAGTCCAAAATTAGTCCGGGGACGATTTTCTCACAATTTTTGAGCATGTTGGGAGTTTTATTGGACTATTTTTGATTTTCGTCCAAAATTTCCTTGTAGGGGGACACGCCCGACTGAAGCCCAGGCGGTACTGCTGCCCAGGGCCCTGACCTCCCCCCTGCACACCCCTCAGGGTAACGACCATCACCCGACACAGTAGTTAGTAATTGCTACCCAGGGCCCCAACCTGCCTCCCCCACACCCCACAGGGTACTCCAGATTTCGTAATAAAAGGGAGGGGGTCTGGACCCTCCAAGACAAGCCATTTCAGACCTCCCCCGTGGGAGAACCCTCCAAAACATCGTTCCCAGACCCCCCCAGGCCCTCCAAGATAGCTTGGAAGAGACCCCCCCCCGAAATGAGACCCCCTTCCCTTTATTACGAAATCTGGAGTAACCACCGTTGCCCGAAGCAGTAGCAACTAGCAAACAATCTAAATGGCGCCGGCTGCCGCCGAAGTCGGGCTCTGCTAGACGTGCCCCCTGGTCCAAGGACCCCCACGGGACTTCTGTGGAGGCCCGCACGGCCCCCAGAGCATCCCTCACGAGGCCTAGAGGGCCCCAGGGGCTCCAACAGTGGTCGGCGGCGAGCAAAGGGGGGGAAGTGAGAAGGAGGAGGCCTTTTCAGAAAGCGGCGGGGCTTCTCAGAAGCCCTCGCGCCTTCTGAGAAGTTTTCTGCGTTCGCGGGGAAGGTTTGGACACCTTTTCAGAAGGCTGGGGGACTTCCGAGCCCTCTGCTGAGAAGGTCCCCCCTTCTCTCCACTTCCCTCCTGGGCTCGCCGCCGAATCGGGCGGAAAGCTTGGGGCGCCTTGGGCCAGGGGCACCTTTAGTAACTCCCGCCGAAGACACCTCCCGAGAGACCGCCAGAGAGACCGCCTGTCTAGGTGTCCTCACGTTCTTCGTGCCAGGCCACCCTGGACCACTTGACGATGCCCCGAGGCGCTCGTCTGGGCGCGGTTGCCTTCTGCTCTCCGCGGTCCGCGCCGGGGCCCTCGATCGGCACCCCAATGTGCTCTCCTCTCTCTCTCTCTCTCTCTTCTGGCCTTCCCCTTTGCAGCGCTTCTCGTACTTGAAGCAGGCGACGGACCGCCCAGGGGCTGGAGGGGCGGCGGAGCGGCGGGGCGGCGCGCGCGCGTGCGCCCAAGGAGCGGGAGCCGCGATCGAGGCCCTTGCCGCCGCCGTCGGGCGGAGCTCGGCGTCGTCTTCGGCGTCGCGGTGGCCGCCGCCGCCGGGGGATATTCGTCGCCGCCGCTGCCGCCGGCAGGGGCGTCGTCTTCGTCGTCGTGGGGGCCGCCGTCGTCAGCGGCGGAGGCGCTGTCCTCGTCGTCATCTCTGCGGTCGTTGTTGTCGTCGTATGGGACGCCGTCTTCGTCATCGTCTTTCTCGCTGTCGTCATCCCATTCGTTCTTTTTTTCGTCGGTTTCGCGGTTGTCCTCGTCGTGATCGTGACGTGGACGTTCGGCCGTCATCGCCGTGGTAGTTGTCATCATCGTGGCGGTGGTTCCGCGACCGAGGCACCGGTTGCTCCCTCGAGCCGAGGTCGTCGTCGTCGTCGTCGTCGTCGTCAGCGTTGTCGTCGCAGTATTCGTCCCTGTCTTCGTCGTGGCCGCCTGCGCAGTCGCCGCGGCCAGATTCGCCTCGACATGCTGGCCAGAACGTGATTCGGGGCAAGCTCCTGGGCCGTCGCCGTTTTCGTCGTCGGCGTCGTCGTCGTCGTCGTCGAGCTCGCCTTTAGAGTCGTCGGCGACGGCGTCGTCGTCAGCGTCGGCGTCGTCGTCGGTGTCGACCGTCGTCGTCGTCGTCGTCGTCGTCGTCGTCGCCGAGCTCGTCGCCGAGCTCGTCGCCGAGCTCGTCGCTAGATTCGTCGGCGTCGTCGGCGCTGGGCGCCCGACCGCGCGCGCCGTCGGCCGGCGGCAGGCGCAGCCCCTCACGGCCAGCAGGGCGGCGGGCCCTCCGGCGCCCGGCGGTCCGCCCGGCCGCCGCCGCGCCGCCAGGGCCTGCAACGCCCGCCGCCGCCGCCGCCGCCGCCACCACGGGAAGAACGTCCAGGGTCGCATCGTGGAGGGCAAGCCCCTCCTCTTCCTCCTCCTCCTCCTCCTCCTCCGCCTCCTTCTCCTCCGCCTCCTTCTCCTCCGCCTCCTCCGCCTCCTCCTCCTCCTCCTCCACCTCCTCCTCCTCTCCTCGCCTCCTCCTCCTCCTCCTCCTCCTCCTCCTCCTCCTCCTCCTCCTCCTCCTCCTCCTCCTCCCCCTCTTAAGAGTTGAGGGCCCCTTCCAAACCCTCTTCGTGCAGCCCGTCGTCGTCGTCGTCGTCGTTCGCCTCCTGAGGTTTTGGTCGCGCTAGGGTTCGACGGGCGTTCTGGGCCCGTAATTAAACGATCGGCTGTCCGCAGCCGGGCCTGTAACGTTCGGCGATGACGACGACGGCGGCGACGGCGACGACGACATCGACAACGACGACGACGATGAGCTCGACGACGATGACGACGACGCCGACGCCGACATACGCCGTGTGGTAACGCTGCGCAGACCCCCTCGCCTCGTGAACAAAACACGAGGGGAGGTGTTTCATGGTTCTCGGCCTCGTGGGGCACTCGCCGGGCATCGCGGCCGTCAACACAACGATTCAGGATGAAGAACCGGTCGCAGAGAATGGGTCGAGACCTTTGGGTTCGACGCGCTATGAAAAATCATAGCGTCGAGGATGTGGGCAAAGGACCAGCTCTCGCAGCTGGTCCCCGAGGGGACTTCGGCCGCGCCCGGCCCGCCCGGGCGCTGCATGCCCGCCCGGGCGCTGCCGCGCCGCTCGCAGCCGGGTAACGGGCCCACTAGACGAACGAACAGCACCCATGCCCTTGTGGGGGGGGCGGACGGGGCTGTGGATGCGTGTTGTCGGATGGGGGTCCCCGCTCGAACGGAAGCTTCCCCAGGGTCCGACAACCCGCACCCATGCCCATAGCCAGACTTCCTCCCTTCCGACCCCGTATGGGTATGGGTGTGTGTGTGTTGTTCGTTCGTCACCTCTGTCCTTTGTTTTGTGTTCGACGGCCAGCGGTGATCAGGGAGAGAGCAAGAGAAGGCCTCATCCGAAGGCGGCGAGCCTTCACAGAAGCCCCCGGGCCTTCTGAGAGATATGTTTTTTTGTCTTCGGGGGAGGCTTAGACATCTTCCCAGCAGTCCGAGGGGACTTCCACGCCTTCTGAGAAGGCCCGCCCGGGCTCGCCACCGAAGGGTGGTGTCGGCGATCTGCGGCGTTGGGGCTTGGGGGGCACCGCGCTGCCCTCGTCGGGGATCCTCGGGGCGCGGCTTGGTCCCTCGGCCGCCGCCCCCGCGATGCGCGCTGCTGCCGACCACACCCTTCGCAAACCACACCCGCTGGAGCTGCAGGAACGTCCTCATACCTTCGGGGCGGCGGCTGTTCCAGTTCTTCGGCCTCCGGGAGCCCCTGCCCGGCCCCGGGGCCGTCAGAGGCCGACTCGAGGGATGCCAAACCTGCCCCGGGGCAAGGGTCGGGCCCTCCAGGGACCGTGTCTTCAACAGAATTCCGACGTCGCTCGTCTGGGCCCTCTCGCCCGCGCGCGCGCGGCGCGCCACCCGCGCGCGCAGCGACAGCTCCACCGACGGCCTTCGCCGGCATCTCCGCTTCGCGACGCGGCTGCGCGGCCGGCGGCAAAGGCAGGGACCGTCGGCCGGGGGTGGACAGAACCCCCACCTTGACGCGTCGATTAATTAGTGAATTGTCCGTTTCCGGTTCTCGAGAGGGCGCCGCAACCGTCATTTTCCAGGCTTGCGCCCGCCAGGCTTGCGCCCGCCAAAGGGGGTTTGGTCCATCCTCGAGTCGGCCTGTGCCGCCTTCGCCTTCACCCTTCCGCTGTCGTCTTGTGGCGGCTGCGGCGTCGCCGTCGGCCGCGGCGTGTCGCCGGCCGTCTCAAGCCGCCTGCCGCGGCAGGTGGCGGCGGAGCCGCGCGGAGCGTCGCTTCGGCCGGCGGCGGCGGCACCTCCCAAGATTCAGCATCGTTAGGGAACTGGACAATGACGTAAACAGCATAACTCGGAGGTCTGCGCGGACCTCCGAGTTCTTATGTTTATGTAATTTCTCGTTCCCCTAATCGTTTAACCGATCCCCATCCCCATCCCCACCCTCATCCCGAACCCCACCATCTCAGCACCTCAGCTGGGGATGTGCCCCTCGAAACCCGAAGAGAGCAGCCTATACGTGTATCCCCATCCAGGGGGGTAGATCGGCCAGTGGGGCTCAGCCCACGCTGGTGGGGATGGACATCGGTTCAACGATGCTCAGGGATCTGGGTGTCGCGAGTTGTTCCACACCGGGCGTCTTCGCCAAGTTGCGGACCTGGGCCCCCAGGGTCCTCACAGATCGAGTCGGCCCGAACATCGGGGGGGTCCCAAGGGGTGTGGCGGCCACACCGCTTGGTGAGTAAGTGGGGGTTCGGGGTCAACGCAAAGTTTTGGGACTCGAGTCGTTCTCCGACGACGTCTTGGGCGACTGGGGCCTCCAGGGTCCCACAACCGTGCCGTGACGTACCGCGCGGTGAGGCCGTTGGGGATTCCGGGACATTCCTGGGTCACCAGGCGGTCTGTGACCGCACGGTTTTGGGCCCCGAACAGTGCCGCAGACAGATTGGGTCTACAGTCTATTGTCAAGGCGTTGAAGAAAGAGCCATTTCGGGCTCATGAGAGGCTCTGGTTGTTGGGCCCTTCCTGAGACCTAGGTCAGGGAATCATCTCCTTGGCCGAGGCTCGCGGTGGCCAGAACAGCCCCTTCGTTCCTTACTCAGCGTTGTTTCTGGTAGCATCGATGATCATCAGGACGTGAGTTATCTCAATGTGTGTGTGTGTGTGTGTTACCCCGCTCATCTTGTGCCGGCCCTCGCAGCGCCGCCTGCGCCGTATCGAAGGGCCTATGGGGCTGGCGCAAACTTGTTGCTGCTACACGTTCGTAGAATCATCGATGCCAGGATGACTGCAGTGCTCCGGGCAAGGGAAAGACTTGGCCAGGCGAAGCTCGGCCCGGCGAAACTCGGCCAGGCGGAACTCGGCCAGGCGGAAGTTGGCCCGGCCAAACTCGGCCTGGCCGAGTTCAGCCTGGCCGAGGTCGGTTGGCCGAGTTAAGCTTGGCCGAGTCTCGCCTGGCCGAGCTTCGCCTGGCCGAGTTTCGTCTGACCGAGCTTCGCCTGGCCGAGTTTCAATGTTGCCTCTGGTGGTTTGCTTCGTTGCTCCCTGCTTTTTCGCGACGCCCGATCTCGGGGGTGGCCGCGCGGGGCCGCCCGCAGCGCCGTCGGCCAGCGGCCGGCGGGCGGCGGGCGACGACGACCACCGCCACCCCAGGCATCCGACGCCGGCCCCGTGAATTCAGGAAGGAAAAAGCACACGGACACAATGGGTCGTCGCTTCCCCCGGAACATATGCAAAAATATGGGCAGTGGGGGGGGAAGACAGGAACCCAGAGAATATGGGAAAAGATGGGGAATCCCGTTATCTGTGTGTATTTATGTATTTATGTATTTATTTATTTATTTATTTATTTATTTATGTATTTATTTATTTATTTATTTATTTATTTATTTGTTTATTTATTTATTCATTTATTCATTTATTTATTTATTTATGTATTTATTTATGTATTTATTTATGTATTTATTTATTTATGTATTTATTTATTTATTTGTTTTTATTTATTTATTTATTTATTTATTTCTATATATATATATATATATATATATGTGTGTGTGTTTGTGTGTGTGTGTGTCCCAGGACCCTTTCATGAATGTCGGCCACGCGCAGATCAATTTTTGGGTGCATCAACGTTCTGGGTGAATCAGTTCTGTGGCCGATTCCCGGCTGGAGAGCAGGCCACACGTGTGCGATGCCTCCGCAGGCTGCCCCGAGGCCCGCGCGGACCTCTGGGGCCGGCGACGGGCACCCGCCCCCCGGAGCGCGCGGCGCGCCCGAGGCGCCCTGGGGGTCCTTGGGGAGCATCTCAACCCGCCACGCGCAGAGGGGGGTACTCCAGATTTCGTAATAAAGGGAGGGGGGTCTCATTTCGGGGGGGGTCTCTTCCAGGCTATCTTGGAGGGCCTGGGGGGTCTGGGGACGACGTTTTGGATGGTTCTCCCACGGGGGAGGTCTGAAATGGCTTGTCTTGGCGGGTCCAGACCCCCTCCCTTTTATTACGAAATCTAGAGTAGGGTTCATTCAATTCAGTCGGGCCTGTCCCTCTTCCGGGGGAATATTCAAAAATAGTTAAATTATCCTGGCAAAGGACCCAAGCATAAGCGATTGTTCGTAACGCGGTTGTGGGTGCCGCTTTCGGTGGGGCTCCCTATGGGGCCACGAAACGCTGCCTTGGGTGGGGGAACCGCATGCGAACTGCGCCACTGGGGCGGGCCTTCGGTGGAGCTCCCTATGGGGCCACGAAGCGCTGCCCTGGGCGGGGGAACAGGGCCTGTCCCTCTACAGGGGAAATATTCCAAAATAGTAAAAAGATAGTCTGGGGACTATTTTTGGACTATTGTTTAGCATTCTGGGAATATTTGTCGGGAATTCTTCATTTTTCGGCCAAAATCCTCCTGTAGGGGGACAGGCCCGACTTAAGGGTAGGGGGAGGGGGGAAGGCTTCCAGAAGCACCCCCTGCTTCTCAGAAGGCGCGGGCCCCGTCTGCACACGCAGGGCCGGCGCCCTCTGCGAAGCAGCGCCCCCTCTTAAGGGAAGCCTTCCCCCCCTGCCCCCGCTCCCCTCTGCGCGCCGCCGGTGGAGAAGCGGCTCTGCCCGGGCGGCCGGCGTCCTGGGGCCCGAGCCCACCGGGAACCTCTGGCCTGGCGTCGCTCGGACGTGCGCATTGTTTCCTCGGCGTGGACCCTCGAGGACCGTCCTGGACCATCGAGCAGAAAACAGCACGCACGGAACCGACAAATGCACGGGAAGTGGACGTCCGAGCGACGGCAGGCCGGATGCCCCCCTCCGCACAGCCGTTTCGGCTCGGGCCCCTCCCGTGGCCGCGGGGGCCGAGGGCCTCGGCGCGCTCGGCGCGCGCCGCGAGGCGCGCGCCATGGGCGGCAAGTGCTGCACGGACCGCAAGGAGCCCCCGGCGGCGGCGGCCCCGGGGGCCAGGCAGCCGGAGCGCAAGTCCCTGGCCGGCGGCTTCAACAAGCAGAGGGGCCTGTCCCTCGCCTACCAGTCCAAGGGCGACGACGCGGAGAAGTTCGACAGGGCCTACGAGGCGAACGACTACAGGGGCCTCGTGGAGCTGCTCGCGTCGAAGACCAAGATCGAGGCGTTCGAGGAGCGCATGCACCCCTGGGCAGACGACCCCAAGACGGTCGGTGCCCTCGCGGGCACGCAGCTCGCGATCCAGGCGTCGATGGCGGACAGGGAGAACCCGAACGTGAAGGAGGAGATATTCAAGGCGGGGGCCATCCCTCCCCTGGTGGCGTTCCTGAAGTCGGACGAGACGGATCGCCTTCACACTGCCGTGGTAGCTTTGAGTTTCTTGACCGCGGACTGTTCAAGCAACACGGTCGCCGCTTATGAAGCGGGAGCGCTGAAACTCCTCTTGCAGCACATCAGCTCCCCGTTGACCGGCATGCGTGCTGCAGTGGCCACAACATTGCGGAACATCTGCATGGAGAAGGATGAGTACCGCGCCGAGTTTGTGGAGTTAGGAGGGCTGGACGGCCTGGTGAAGCAGCTGAACGTGAGGGAGTCGGCCGACCCGGCGCTGCCGCACGTGGACGTGCAGCTTGAGGCGATTCTCAACCTGCAAGACGTGCTCGAGGACCAGGACGGAAACTTGATCGAAAAGTACGCCCAGAAAGCCCGCGATGCTGGCGTTGTCCCGCTGTTGCAGCAGCTGGTGCTCAGCGAGGACGAGGAGGTTCAGAGCTCCGCGAACGAGGTGCTGACGCTGCTGGGCGCCATGTGATACGCACTGGTGCGTGGCCTGGTTGACAGTCGGCCTTCGTTCCTTGAGCACTGGAACCGCTCAGGTGCGGTTGGTCTGGCGCGCGTCACATTGCCTTCAACCGATGATGATGGGCCGATGTTCCACCACCACTACCTCAGGTAGTAGAGGGAGGAGGAGGAGGCGGAGGAGGAGGAGGACCTCACCATCCTCCCTTCTCCCCTATCGCGACGATGGGTGGTTGGGGCTCGAGGCGTTGCCCCCTGAGCCCACGCCCCCCCCCCTGCAGTCATCGTGCTGCCATAAGTAGGAGGAGGAGGAGGAGGAGGAGGAGGAGGAGGAGGAGGAGGGAGGAGGAGGAGGAGGAGGAGGGGAGGAGGAGGAGGAGGAGGGAGGAGGAGGAGGAGGAGGAGGAGGAGGAGCCTATGGCAGCGGTGGTGGAACACTGGCCCAAGCGATGGCACGCTTCTCTCCGGCTGCCTGCAGCGGGCCCCGCCGCCGCGCCCTGGCCGGCGCGGGGAGCGGACCCTGCGGCCGGCCGCGAGGCCCGCGGGCCGCGTGGCGGCCGCCCGAGCCGGGGCGCCGCCGGGGCCCCGCTCTTCGGGTCGACCCAAGAGGGGGTCCAGCGGCGAGGCAGGCAGGCAGGCAGGCAGGCAAGAGTCAGGAGGGGAAGAAACACACAGACACAATGAATCGTCGATCCCCCAGGAAAATGTAGGGAAAGATGGGAAGTGGGGGGAAAGACAAAAACCTAGAACATATGGGGAAATATTGGGAATCCGGTTATTTGTGTGTCCCAGGGCCCCTTCAGCATTGGCAGAAAATAACATGCTGAGGATTTACTTGACCTCATGCAGCAAGACACGCGTGCAGACGCAGTGCCTCGGTGGGCATACGCCGGACCCTTCGTTCCGGAGCATCGGTCCAGCGACAGGGGGGTGGTGCGATAGATTTGGTGGAAAATAGGCTTGTGGGGTTGCAATACATCTGGGGCGTGCAATGCATTCTGAGTGGGGCGCAGATGTATTGCTGGTTGTTCGCGTGCATGACATTACTTGCAATACGATGCAATACACTCGTCCGGCGCAACACATTTGCAGTACAATTGCCTCAAAGCTATTGCATTGCACCCCCCCGTTTCAGCTGGGCCCCTTTTTGGGTCACCCCAAGCTCTCCCGCTAGCGAGCGGCCGCGGCCAGCTTACGTCTAAGTCAGGCATGTCCCTCTACAGGGATAATATTCAACAATGATCAAAACACAATCAGGGGACCACGTTTCTATTATTTGTTGACCATGTTTGAATACTTCTTCGGCTATTTCTTATTTTCCTTACAAACAAAAAAAACTGCCCGTAGGGGGAATGCCCGACCTACTCTTACGTCTCGTCTAGTGATCGGCGCTGCCTGGGGTGCCGGCTGCTTAGCCCAGAGTCTGCGAAGGCAATTTGGAGCTCTGCGTCGTCTCTGCCTCCTGGAGGCACGCCACTCCCTCGTGGGCAGCGGGCTGACCGGCCGAGCCTGCGACTTCTGCAGCCCTGCTGCTGCTGGCGTCCCTCCGTGAGACAGACGCAGATGCTCGCAAGTGTGTTTTTTTTGTTGCTGACCTCCAGAGGAGAAGTAAGCGACGCAACAAGAACGGGATCGTCTTCGCCGACATTCGCGCGCAAGCTGCTGCCCGCGAAAGGTCGCGCGTAAGTGCCCTCGTCTCCATTGTGGCTTGCCGCTGGCGGCCCGCGTAAACAGCCGCGCAAGGTCGCTATTTAATTTCGCGTGAGACCCGTCTTTGATCGTCGCTCAAATGCTCCCGAGCCGGGAGAGTCCGGCGCCGAAGTCTGCTTGCTGCCGGCCGCGGCGGAGCGGAGGCGCACGTTCTTGACCCTGCTACTTCCTCTCTGCTCTCCTTCGGACGCCCTTTTTATCCTCCTCCTCCACTTTCTTCCGTCCCGTGCTCCCGGAGGCCCGCCAGCCCAGAGGCTCCGAGCTCCCTAGATGGGGTCCGAGTAGATGGGGTCGGAAGATCGCGCCCCATCATCGCCGACGTCGCCAGTGCATGGCCGATGCATCGCCGATGCACCGGCGATGCATCGCCGATGTATCGGCGATGCGGCGAGATCCTCCGACCCCATCTACTCGGACCCCATCTAGCAGGCCTCTAAGAGCGGCGCCCCGACGCGCGCGCCCCGACGCGCCTTGTCGAGGACCCGTTTCTCTGTGGGCCCCGTGCCTCGATTCCGCATGTTCTTGCCCGCGCGCGACTGAGCCACCTCGCAGGCGGGCGGGATGTTGTTGTTCCTCCTCCTCCTCCTCCTCCTCCTCCTCCTCCTCCTCCTCCCTTGGCTTGTCTCTCGGGCTAGCCAGCAGCAGCTCCGGAGTTCGCGGGATGCCCCCGAGGGTCCCCAGAGGCCTTCTGAGGCAGAGATGGAGCGACGGAGATCAAGGATCGAGGAGGGGCACGACGGCGACAGAGAGGAGGGGGAGAACGATTCAAGGAAGGTCAGCGAAAGAGGATGAAGACCGTGTCAATCGCAGGCCGCCAGAGAGCGACAGTCGATGACCATGCGGAGGAGGAGGTTGAGGAGGAACCATGGCGGGAGGGGGGAGACGAGGAGAAAGATGCGGAGGCGGTAGGGCGGGGGAGGAGGAAGGCGGAGGGAGGACAGCATTTGGAAGGACCCGACGAGAGAAGGAGAAAGCAGAAAAGGATTTCAAGGATTGGTGGTGTGGAGGAGGAAGGCGGGGAGAGGGAGCGGAGTGAATCCATTCAGAAGGGAGACGGGCCTGAGGTAGGAGGAATGGGAGGAGGAAGAGGAGGATAAGGACGAGAACCAGTGTAATTCACGACTCGTCAACGATGTTGAATTGCACCCTCCCTGCAAGAACCCTTTTTCATAGACCTCTACACGGGGTCATTTTCAATGATGGAGTTGCCCAGTTGGGGGTCAACCGTGTGAACACCCTGTAGCGTGCCAAAACGCCATGCCCAGGATTTCAACCCCACATGTTAATATGATTGCGACTGTCTGCGATCCTGAATCGTGTCAGAACGCATTTCCTGCGACTTGCACACCGCGAATCAACGTTGTTGTTGCGCCCTGGCAATCCTGAATCGTTCCAAACTATATATGGTACGTTGACCATAAGAACCAGTGGCATCCTTGCAACATGTTTAAACTGAATGTACGCGGCGTCAAGGCGAGAGCCACATGTTCAAAACGGCCCGCCCTCAACCCGTGAAACCCTTGCAGCAACTTTCTAGAAGAAATGTGCGTGGCGCCAAGGCGAGAGCCACATATTGAAAACGACCCGCCCTCAATCCGCGAAACTCTTGCAATGTGTTACATCGAATGTGAGCGGTACTAAGGTGAGGGCCACCTTTCAAATGGAGCCGCCATTCACCCGTGAAATTCTTGCAATTTGTTCAACGAGTATGCGCGGTGCAAAGGCGAGAGCCCCATTTTGAAAGGGAGCCGCCCTGCATCCGTGAAGCTCTTGCAAATCCAGAAAAATGCGCGCGGCTCTACAGTCAACCCGTTGCATAAGGATGGGCACCCTTCTCAAGGGGATCCTTGCATCCTTGTGTCCTCGGTCTATCCTTGGCCACTTTCGTTGACCGCGCCCCGCTCGAAAAGCTTCGAAAATGCCTTCTCAAGGCCCTTGCATCCTTTTCGTGCGTCCTTACGATACGGGTTGACTGTGAGACCGAAACCCCTTGTTGACAACGACCCGCCCTAAATCCGTGAAACTTCCGCATGTGTTTAAAAGAATGACCGCGGCGCTGAGGCGAGAGCCATTTGTTTGAAAAGGACCTGTCCTCAATCCGTGACGCTTTCGCATATGTGTAGGACGAGTGTGCACGGCGCGGATGCAAGAGCCACATTTTGACAGCCACCCGCTCTCGATCCGCGAAACTCTTGCAAACTGTTCAACGAATGTGCGCGGCAATGAGACGAGCACCACATGTTGGAAGCGACCAGCCTTCCATGCGTGAATGTGCTGCCATCGTGTTCCGCTTCAGGGTCACAGATGATGCGGCGGTCTCCGGCGCAACGCCCGGCCCGCCCTCTCGAAGGGCCTCGTTGCGCGACAGGGAGGGGTTTTTGTGAGCTATCTAAAAGGAGTTGCGTATAGAGTTACGCGTTACGTTTTGTTGAAAACAGTAAATTACCTTCTTAAGGAGTTACGTATTATAAACAAATGCTGCAGGACTGCCACCCGCCACGCGCGAGGTTGGCATACGCACCGCCTTTTCACCAGGCAGTGTCATGGCACCGCACGAGTCAGGAGGACGGAGTCTCCCTCCTCGCTGGTTGACTTGTCTAATATCCGCGTACGTTATGATGTGTGCTAGTGTGGTGTCAGGCAGCGTCGTCTATGGTGGAGTTGTTTGTATGAATTTGCAGTGACTGTGTGTCAGCGCTGATACATCCAGAGTTCGACTGGCTTCGGGGCGCGACGGGGTGAAGTTTTTCACAAGGAAGGATTGGAAGGGGGATTTCCAGGATTTCCGCCATCACGTAGTGATATATTTACAAGGCAACTACGCTAAGGCCACCCCCCGAGCAAACCCGCGAACGAGACGATCCAGTACAAGAACCTCAGCAGAAGGTACATGAAGAACCCGACAACGAAGCCTATGGAACGCAAAGCGTTGTCACATAGCGAATCCGTCCAAATTCGAATGGCACCTCAACAAACGAAGCATACCACGCTAAACTGAAACGGGCTTGGCTCGATTCGGCCCTCTCCGCAGGTCAACGGGCTACCTCTCACGTATATCATAAAGATCGCCTCCTCCGCAGGCAGCCTCGCAAGACAGCAACGCAGCCAAAATTACCACCCAAACTGTTCATTCCTTCCAGCCGAGCCTTCTGCACCAACTTGAAACACTGCACGAAGACAGCGAACCGTAACCACCAAAAGCACCTGAAATACCCTCCCCTGGCGGAGATGGGAGATCCCAGCGTTATAGCTGATGATGTCTGGCTCACGCTTGATGCACGAGAAATGGAGGCCCCAACACCAGAAACCGAAAGACATACCCTCCCCTGGCGGAGCTGGGAGATGCCCAAACGATAGCTGACGAAATGAGCCCAAACTGAAACATTCCAAAGCCACGCCGCATGCAGCCCGAACTGGAGGAGCGACACCACGCGAAACCCGTAGTGGTACCCACCAGCTTGTTTGGCCTGCGCCACAGCCCGGAATAAGAAGATTTGAAATCGCGAATTCGCGCCCCTTCGTCGCCAGGAGAGGCTGGACGATACCGATGTGAGCAAACGACTCCCAACACGGTCCAGAGTCCCTGATGTCCCCCAAGCGCCGACGAGAAGGCGGGAAGCTGGGCTAGCGCGAGCGAGTAGGAGCCAAAAGATGGTACCACGCGCCCCGCCCACCTGTGCTTGAGAAGGATTGGAAGGGGGGAGGGAAGGTGAGGAGGGAGGGGGGAGGAGGAGGAGGAGACTGGAGGGAGTGGAGAAGGGAAGGGGTGGTGTGAGGGGGGTGGGGGGGGGCGCCTCAAAGCCAAACGCAGTAGGACCCAGGAGCCAGCTGGCCATGAAACAGGCGGTGGAGATGCCAAACCCCAGGACAAGGAGAACGCCAAGCCAAAGGAAGCAGCGACGAGGTCAGCCACGATGCCCACTAATTACGGCAGGATCCGCGGCTAGCACGGTTGCGCCTTCCAAAACGCCTTGCTCGAGCATTCCGAAACCATTTCTTCCGACAGCACCACCGAGCCAGCGCCACGACCCAGCAGCCAATGCCAGCGAGGCATCAGATGGTGGCACATCCCCTGCTATGGTCGACGCCGCCAGCGCCAAGCTCCGCGGCTCGAGCCCCTCTACGGCCGCCAAGCCATCCCAGTAGCAAGGGTAGCAGGCGAAGCGGCGCCAAAACGACCTTTTACAACGACCAGCTCTCCCTCTCAGGTTTGATGGGTTCCGTGGAGTACATGTGCTGGTGAGGGCGGCTGCGGCAACAATGGGCAGTGGCAGGTATACGCAGGCCACTACGACATTGGTCACTTAGATGATTGGGCCGAAGCTACGTGGAGGCCGTCTGTCATGAAAGACTGCGGACAGCCATACGAGCAACCATCACACAATGACAGCAGTTGCGACGACCACACGCTGGATCCCAATGGCAACTACGGTCTCAGTGGCAGCGAGGCCGAGGGCGCAGGCTACATGCGAGACGATCGCCACGAGGAGACGTCGAGCAACATGGCCAGCCCCAGGAAGGACCCGAATGCTGGCCAGGAGACCGTCTTGACCAGCTTGCCGCACCCATGCGGCGGGCACGTGTCAGTCCTGCTCCTGCGCTGGAGAGAACGGTCTCGCGAAGGGCAACTCGTTGGATGCATGATCCCAAAGAGGGCCAGATGGATGAGGATCGGCTCGGGTTGTTTGAGTGGCGCACCAGCTTCCTCGCAAATGAGCTCAGCCATCCACGCTTCGAATGGGTCCTTGGAGCGCGTGGCAAGCTGCCGAACCAGCTAGCAGCGGAAATGTGCACCATGGCTCGGCATCGAGGGGAGAGACGGCAATGGCGCTACCTCGTCTTGCTGACGGCTCTTACGCGAGCCCAGCTTTGAGTTGCCCTCGGCCTTCAACAAGCTGACCCCCGGCGACTATGCGACTGGATTGCCGACCCAGAGCGCTCGGGGCCAGCGCCCCCAGTCGGGCCGCCTTGTCGCGGGCGAGTTGGCTTCGCCGACATCCTTTGGGCCCAGGTCTGCGAGGGTGACCTGCTGGGCTCCGACGACAGAGACATCGAGGATTCCAGCGCCCACAGCTACGTGGACCAGGACAGGGGCAATGCCCAAGAGGACATCTATCGACGATCGCAGCGTCCTCGGCAATGTGGACCAGGACAGGGGCGATGTCCAAGAGTGGATCACATAGCACCTGTCCTTCGACGATAGCCGCGGCGAGGAGTGCCGGGGCGCGGGCCGCGACCCAGAAAGCACTTGCGGGGGCC